ATTTTTGCTGTAAAATCCTTGTTGTAGATGTTGGCTTTTTAAATTAATTTAAAACCTCTGAGAAATTACTTTTTAAAATTATTTTTTTATTTTAAAGATAAAAGAACGAAAACATATTAACAAACACACAGACACTTACAAAACAACACAAAAACAATGAAAGCAATACAGAATTTCAGACAAGATGATAGGAAATTAAAATGGTTATTGTATTTCATACTGTTATCTTCAAATTGGTCACTCAGATACACAAATATAGACATGTAAGATTGATCAAACAATTAAACATTAATTGTGCCTTTCCATAAAGCAATAGAAATCAGTAGTACAAGTATTTTAGCTATTACTTTTTGAAGACATTTGTCTGTTATTTAGTGGGTTCAGACAGCATCAAAAGATATTTACATTTGCAGTAGCACTTTTAAAGTCTAGGCTATGAACTAGCTAAGTCTAAGAAACAATGCAAGAGGCAGGTAAGTAAGTCCAAGCTGGGGAAATTCATGCAGTTTATATCAATGCTGTAGAATTGGACAATGAAAAGGAGCCTGTGGCAGGTATGCGCCAACTGTCACAAATATTGATATAAATATTCACAATATTGATCGAGTTGCTTCTATGTGCCAGAATTTTTCCCTGAGCATTTTAAATGTAGCAATTAAACAAGGAAAGCTGGGCATCATGGCTCATGCCTGTAATTCCAGCACTCGGGAGACTGAGGGAGGAGGATCATTGTGAGTTTGATGATTTGTAGCCCAGCCTGGGCTACAAAGTGAGATCAAGGCCGGCCTGAACTGCATAGCAAGGCTTGTCTCAAAAAGACAAAAAAAAAAAAGATTGCTTTTCTTGAGATTATAAACTAACAGGAGGGTGAGACAGACAATAAATATAACAAATGAGTAAATTATGTAGTATTTTGTACTTCATTAAGGGCCATGAGAGGAAAAAGCACTGAGTAAAGGGAATCAGGAGCAGTTAGATTTTGGGGCAGGACACAGGATCAAGCAGGGTAGACTGGCAAAGCTGTGAAGGGGGCTAGAAGTGGGAAAATATATGTGGAAGACAGAGTTAATAGAAATTACCAGCTGTCACACCAAGTGCCATATATGAGAGAGACAAAATGGAGATTCCAAGTTTGAAGTTTCATCATTTATAAGCACAAATGAGTTTTCCATTAAAGTGCTTTCCTACACAAGAATTGCACATTTTGTTCATTAATAGCTCATGTCAAGGCAAAAGTCTTACCCTTGAGCAGTTTACAATCAAAACTTCTTTGGGAATTTAAGACATTACTCCAGTATTTCTTTTAATTTTACTCTTGTCTAATTCACAACTTACAAATTATGAAATAAAGCTATGTTTTATCATGGAGAAATTTAAGGTTATAGAATTATATTTTTCTTCTCGTCTGAAAATATCACTATTGTGATAGTGACATAGCTTTTAGAGCATAGGTAGCAGATACATCATGTTAACCCGTCTATTACATTGATGTGGTGTTTTATGATTTCTAACATGATTTAGAATGTCTTATCTCATGCCATTCTCTCATAATCCTGGGAGACAGCAGGGAAGAAATACGTGTAAGAATTTGAACAGTTTAAGCGATTGCATGGTCAATAAAAGTCCTTTTCCAGACTCGGTGCACTCATTTATGTGCTTTGATGTCGCTCCAACAGATGAAATAAAATGGGCAGCGTGGAGAATCCTGTGCTCACCAAAGCTCAGTGTTCCACACAAAGATTGCATGTATGGCCTTTATCCTCAGTGTCCGCTATTCATGAGGCTTTATCACATCATCAGAATGATCTAATAATAAATAATAAATTTTTATTTTGCACAGAACTCTCACTTTGTATTTTCTCTTCTATGCCATTTTTCCTCACTTTTGTTATTTGGAATATCAGTCAGTGTTGCTTGACTCTCTAGAACATAGTAAAAATTGTTTTGTGGATTATAATCAAAGAACCTTGAAATGTATCAATGTCACCATCAGTACACAGGGAAATGCAAAGAGAAATATATCATTGTAAGGCTCATCAGGTGAGGTGGATACAGATTCATTTATTTATTTTTGTTTTACTGTTCAGTAACTGAAGCTATGGGAAGAATCACGTGCCTTACTGTCTGGAGGCCGGGAGGCTGTGGACGCCAGGCTCTAGTACGCCCGCTTCAGGACGAAGGCTTTGGTGTCCATCTTTCACTCCTTCAGGCGGTTGCTACAAGCATCTGGCTTTCAAAACTCACCTCGGGAAACGCAATAATAATGATATTACTGCAATCGTTTTCCTTTCTTTAAATTAAGCCACCTAAGTAATTTCGACCAATCTCTTTTTCGGAAGCTGCAATGAAGTCTGGTTTTGTAATTTTAAGATCAGCGTTTTTGACAATCCTGGGCAGTTATGGGGCCGGCGGGGAAGGAAGTCATTTAAGGAAGCAAAAGACCTTTAACTGCCAGAGGAAGAAATTTTAATGGATGTAAGGAGGGTCGTTTATAAGAAGTGCAGATAAATGCGAAATTACATTATTAATAAGCAGTATTATTACAGACTGTTCTTTCTAAGCACTCACACCTCTGAATCATTTTGGGGTTCCCTGACTTCCGATCGTCCCCTGTGCTCCGCAATGACGCCCCTTCTCCCCGTCGCTGTCAGGAGTTTGGGTGCCGTCCTCAGAGAGGAGCTGATCATCCACCTGCTCCCCGGCTTCGCTCTGAGTGACACCGCCCACGCCTCCCCGCGCCGCTCTCCTCCTCCCCGGCTCCGGGGGGATGCGAGGCGCTGGAGCGAGAGCCCGAGGCTACCTCTCCCGAACCCCGTGCAGGAGGCTCGAGC